TACGGTCTCACCTGAAGAGGGGATGAACTGACAATCCAGCCCCCAGCCTTCGGGATCATTCAGGGAACACTGCTGAAGTGCTCCATGCATGGTTCTAGTGTCCGTTGCACAGCACAAGTGTGTCCAATGATTCGCTTGTGCTGCCCAGGAACAGTTTCCCATATGTTTCACTTAAACATACTCACTGACAGAAAGACATGCACTCTCACATTCACTGACAGACACACACATCCACCAACAGACACACTAACTGACACAAGCATTGACTGACAGATACACATACACACTCACTGAGAAATCACATACACACTCACTGACAGAAGCACACTCACTCAGTGTCAGACACACACTGTGACACACACATACTCACTGACAGACATACACATTCACTAACAGACATACACACTCTTTGAAACACACGCTCACTAACAGACACACACTCTCACTAACAGACACAGACACACACACACACTAACACACTCACTAACAGACACACAATCTCACTAACAGACACAGACACACTAGCACACTCACCAACAGACAACCACACTCTCACTAACAGACACACACTCTCACTTACAGACACACACACTCACTAACAGACACACACACACACACACACTCTCACTAACAGACACACACTGACAATCACTAACAGACACACTCTTACTAACAGAGAAACACACACTCTCACTGTCAGACACACACTAACACCTACTAACAGACACACACATACTAACTCTCTCACTAAAAGTTTTTTTTTTATTTGCTTAAATTTTTTAGGTGTTTTGGTGAATTTGTCGCAATGCATGTGGTGGGCGGTCGGAAGTGCAGGCACGCAGTTCAGGCGGACAGTGAGGGAGCTCTGATCTTCCTGCTCAGTTCCCTTGCGTGCCTCTTAGTGATGCCAATGCCGGAGTGACATCATATTCCGGCTCTGGCATCACAGCGGTGCGCGTGAGGTTGCTGAGCGGGGTAGTGCTCAGGGGAGAGTGCTCCCTCGCATGTTCCCCAGGACAAGAGGCTGACATGGCATTTCCCGGGCCATTTGGGGGGTAGCTTTTCTTGTCGCCCCCCTGAAAGTGCCGCCCAAGGCAAATGCCCTGTCAGCTTCAAGGTAAATACACTGCTGACGGGAAAGATACATAGAAACATAGAAAAATAGAATGTGACAGCAGATAAGAACCATTCGGCCCATCTAGTCTGCCCAATTTTCTAAATACTTTCATTAGTCCCTGGCCTGATCTTATAGTTAGGATAGCCTTATGCCTATCCCACGCATGCTTAAACTCCTTTACTGTGTTAACCTCTACCACTTCAGCTGGAAGGCTATTCCATGCATCCACTACCCTCTCAGTAAAGTAATACTTCCTGATATAGGAGTGAATAGTATCTCTAATAGACCTACTAGCATTACAGCAACACAATGATTTTAATACATTATAAATACCCTATTTTAGAAATATTTGCTCAAATACAGATATTCTTTTTACATTCTGTTGCAATTTTTAGTAAATTTTACTACTAGCAATGCGCATTGGATATTTTTTTATATCTATATTTGTCATTGTTACTGTACATGAGAAAAATTTACTCTGTGTGACATACTTTTATGTTTGACAAAACAGGAATCTATAGAAAAACGGTTTTATCATATATGTGGATAAAGTAACTCTGCACCACATGTTTCAAATAAATGTTATGGTAATATTTTTTCACACAAAACTTGTTTGATATTGAAGTGGTTAACAAACTATTCTTTCTTAGCTCCCCCAGCAGTTTCAAGTGTCAGTATCTTTGCTTATTTACACTCTTCCTTACCTTTATACACATTTAGACTGACCTGATCTTTACCCCACAGTGCAATTTATCTAATACAGGTAACTGATTGACGACTCACATTGTGCAAGTGATTCTTTGCATGGAATCTAGGAATTGGAAGCAGATACGAATTCAGTCTGCTATTAGAGCTCCACAGAATTAATACTCCCAGTAATGTGTCTGAGTGTATAACAGAGTTCTACAGCAATAATACTCCCAGTAATGTGTCTGAGTGTATAACAGAGCTCCACAGCAATAATACCCCAGTAATGTGTCTGAGTGTATAACAGAGCTCCACAGCAATAATACTCCCAGTAATGTGTCTGAGTGTATAACAGAGCTCCACAGCAATAATACTCCCAGTAATGTGTCTATGTGTGTATAACAGAGCTCCACAGTAATAATTCTCCCAGTAATGTGTCTGAGTGTATAACAGAGCCCCACAGCAATAATATTCCCAGTAATATGTCTGAGTGTATAACAGAGCCCCACAGCAATAATACTCCCAGTAATGTGTCTGAGTGTATAACAGAGCTCCACAGCAATAATACTCCCAGTAATGTCTGAGTGTATAACAGAGCTCCACAGCAATAATACTCTCAGTAATGTGTCTGAGTGTATAACAGAGCTCCACAGCAATAATACTCCCAGTAATGTGTCTGAGTGTATAACAGAGCTCCACAGCAATAATACTCCCAGTAATGGGTCTGAATGTATAACAGAGCTCCACAGCAATAATACTCCCAGTAATGTGTATGTGTGTATAACAGAGCTCCACAGCAATAATACTCCCAGTAATGTGTCTGAGTGTATAACAGAGCTCCACAGCATTAATACTCCCAGTAATGTGTCTGAGTGTATAACAGAGCTCCACAGCAATAATACTCCCAGTAATGTGTCTGAGTGTATAACAGAGCTCCACAGCAATAATACTCCCAGTAATGTGTCTGACTGTATAACAGAGCTCCACAGCAATAATACTTCCAGCAATGTGTCTGAGTGTATAACAGAGCTCCACAGCAATAATACTCCCAGTAATGTGTCTGAGTGTATAACAGAGCTCCACAGCAATAATACTCCCAGTAATGTGTCTGAGTGTATAACAGAGCTTCACAGCAATAAAACTCCCAGTAATTTGTCTGAGCGTATAACAGAGCTCCCAGTAATAATACTCCCAGTAATGTGTCTGAGTATATAACAGAGCTCCACAACAACAATACTCACAGTAATGTATAACAGAGCTCCACAGCAATAATACTCCCAGTAATGTGTCTGAGTGTATAACAGAGCTCCACAGTAATAATACTCCTAGTAATGTGTCTGAGTGCATAACAGAGCTCCACAGCAATAATACTCCCAGTAATGTGTCTGAGTGCATAACAGAGCTCCACAGCAATAATACTCCCAGTAATGTGTCTGAGTGCAAAACAGAGCTCCACAGCAATAATACTCCCAGTAATGTGTCTGAGTGTAAAACAGAGCTCCACAGCAATAATACTCCCAGCAATGTGTCTGAGTGTATAACAGAGCTCCACAGCAATAAGACTCCCAGTAATGTGTCTGAGTGTATAACAGAGCTCCACAGCAATAATACTCCCAGTAATGTGTCCGAGTGTATAACAGAGCTCCACAGCAATAATACTCCCAGTAATATGTCCGAGTGTATAACAGAGCTCCACAGCAATAATACTCCCAGTAATGTGTCTGAGTGTATAACAGAGCTCCACAGTAATAATACTCCCAGTAATGTGTCTCTGAGTGTATAACAGAGCTCCACAGCAATAATACTCCCAGTAATGTGTCTGAGTGTATAACAGAGCTCCACAGCAATAATACTCCCAGTAATGTGTCTGAGTGTATACAGAGCTCCACAGCAATAATACTCCCAGTAATGTGTCTGAGTGTATAACAGAGCTCCACAGCAATAATACTCCCAGTAATGTGTCTGAGTGTAACAGAGCTCCACAGCAATAATACTCCCAGTAATGTGTCTGAGTGTATAACAGAGCTCCACAGCAATAATACTCCCAGTAATGTGTCTGAGTGTATAACAGAGCTCCACAGCAATAATAATCCCAGTAATGTGTCTGAGTGTATAACAGAGCTCCACAGCAATAATACCCCAGTAATGTGTCTGAGTGTATAACAGAGCTCCACAGCAATAATACTCCCAGTAATGTGTCTGAGTGTATAACAGAGCTCCACAGCAATAATACTCCCAGTAATGTGTCTGAGTGTATAACAGAGCTCCACAGCAATAATACTCCCAGTAATGTCTGAGTGTATAACAGAGCTCCACAGCAATAATACTCCAGTAATGTGTCTGAGTGTATAACAGAGCTCCACAGCAATAATACTCCCAGTAATGTGTCTGAGTGTATAACAGAGCTCCACAGCAATAATACTCCCAGTAATGTGTCTAATGCTGTCTGAGTGTATAACAGAGCTCCCACAGCAATAATACTCCCAGTAATGTGTCTGAGTGTATAACAGAGCTCCACAGCAATAATACTCCCAGTAATGTGTCTGAGTGTATAACAGAGCTCCACAGCAATAATACTCCCAGTAATGTGTCTGAGTGTATAACAGAGCTCCACAGCAATAATACTCCAGTAATGTGTCTGAGTGTATAACAGAGCTCCACAGCAATAATACTCCCAGTAATGTGTCTGAGTGTATAACAGAGCTCCACTGCAATAACACTCCCAGTAATGTGTCTGAGTGTATAACAGAGCTCCACAGCAATAATACTCCCAGTAATGTGTCTTAGTGTATAACAGAGCTCCACAGCAATTATACTCCCAGTAATGTGTCTGCGTGTATAACAGAGCTCCACAGCAATAATACTCCCAGTAATGTGTCTGCGTGTATAACAGAGCTCCACAGCAATAATACTCCCAGTAATGTGTCTGAGTGTATAACAGAACTCCACAGCAATAATACTCCCAGTAATGTGTCTGAGTGTATAACAGAGCTCCACAGCAATAATACTCCCAGTAATTGTCTTTTTTTAAATAATTTTTTTAGTACAATTTGTGGTATTTCATTTCTAGGTGGTTTACTCATAGGAATTCGCGCCAGCTAGGTTGGCCTGAGGGTGCTCAAGATGGGGGGGGCGGTAAAATAAGATGGGGGGTGGGTGGCTGGTCATAGTGGCTGGTTAATGGTTTGCAGAGCCAGGTGCATGGAGCATATGTATATATGTATATTTGAGCCAAGGGAGATGGGGGACTTAGGTTAACCTTTCCAAATAATACAACATAAAACATAAAACAGAGCCTTGCGTGGCAGCATTAACGGCAGGCGTTGCTGGGTTAAGGTAGGGAGAGCGTCTGCTCCCGTTCTTGTTCCTCTAGTGGCCTCCTTGGTGGCACCCATAAGTGCCCCTCGGTCGGAGTCCCGGTTAAATTTAAGAAGTACATCCCTGGGAGCCTCCTGTGGTGCTTTGGTTGCTTTGGGGAGCCGAAAACACGAATCCATGCCCATCTGCTTTATTTGCTTGGGCACCAGTAGAGTAGCCAACAGCCGTCGGCAGTAGTGTGGTAGTTCTGCATCGGTGACTGTTTTCGGCACCCTGACCTGCGCCATGTGGAAGATAGCCTGTATTTCTTTCGCTAACGCCTTGATATTGACTTTCGTGGCGGGAGCTGAGTCTCCTGGTTCCCAGGGTGCCCCGGGCTTGGCAAGTACCTTTGGCGGAGGTAAGTGTGCTGTCGGGCTCTCGTCTTCTGATGATGGTGAGGTGGAGGCCTCTGCCGGCGTCATCTTGACGAGGTCAGGCCTCGTGGCTGTGCGCATAAAGACTCCTATGTCTCTGGATCCCAAGCCAGGATCGGCTTTATATTTTTTAGCCTTCTTGCCCATGCTGTAAGACACACGTGGGACGTTAGATAGCTGGTTAATTTTTGCCGTTATCGCCGAAATTTGGTGTTTGGGTTAGCTGCTTAGGGTGCAGGATGCGTCTCTCTCGGGTGCTGCCCCCCCCCCAGTAATTGTCTTTAAACGGCAATAATATTCCCAGTAATGTAACTGCAGTAAATATGTTTAGAAATCAGTGTGTGTCAAAACCATACTTTAATCTTGTTCTTAGATTTTCCATTCATTTATCAACAGGTCATGAAGTCAGACATTTGTTACAAATACCGACTTAAATCCCCCCATGCAGTCACAGCCCAGTAAGGGTGTTTGGAAGTGTAGGCAGGATAATGAATGTAATAATTCCTTTCATTTTCTTATTTCTGATCTTGATCCAGAACTGTGTCAGGATGGAAATAAGGAAGGGACTTGTCCTTTCTATTCGAGTTCTAGCAGTGTGAATTGCAGGTTTGCAGGTTAATCAGTTCCAATGACCGTTTTACCTGCTGTGACAGAAATTGGATGCAAATATGGATTGAAATGGTGTTAGCAGCATGGGTGCCGTTACTGTAATGGTTAGTTGTGGAATAAAGTAGGAAGGAAACAAGACAATTAGTTTTGCTTAGTATTTGCTTCTTTTTAGTTGCGTTGGGACAGAAATGGGAACGCGGGAATTGAGACGGAGAAACATATAAAAAACATACATAAATTTGTAAGTAATTTCCAATAGAGCAATGTATAATAATTATGTTAAAACAATAAACCTAGTGTTATGTCAAGCTGGCCAAAACAGCACGCAAGCACTGTGACTGCCATGGCGTAGGCTGTTATTACTGTTTAACCTAGCCTGCGTAATATGTGCCAAGTGATGGGGTATCCTGGCTATCTACCTGTCACAGTGACATTCTCCACTCTCTGCAATTCATAACATTCTCTCTTATCAAACTGCAGTGCACACCCAAAAACGTTTCAAAAAGTGTGTGCAAAAGTTGACATTTGCCTGTTCTGCTGCAGCCAAAAACTCTGATATTTTGATAAAGTATCTAATGAGCGTTGTTGCATAAGTAGAAGGGAGAAAATAAATATTGAAAAAAGTCAAAGCATTTGGTGGGAAATGATTAGATTCTGAGTCGTGTTAACTGACGTAGGTGAGCACAGAACATTATGGCCCCTTGTTTATTTACTTTATGATTGTTGTTTTAATATAAAAGTTCAATATTGTTCACTGAATAGAGTTGACAAACGAGTTGAAAAATCTAGAGCAATCCATTTTGGAATTAGTCCTATAATTTTATGTAAATTTTCCCACAACTCACTTTTTAGTGGATCAGTACCAGGGTCTTCTGAAAACCGCCTGTTTATCGAAAATTACTTTATCTAAATTTACACCGCGGTCAACTTCATGTCATAATGAATGCAAAGTCAAATAAAAACAACAAGCATGCGGTTGACTGGCTCCCAAAATATTTAACAAATACTTGAAATGTCTAAATATTGCAAAACAATTAGGAAAAAAAACCAGATGGGAATTAATCAATAGAAGTCAAGGAAAGATATAGCAAGGAAAAGCTCGAGATGTCATGCTGTCGTTTAGTAGGCGGTTTATTTACTTCCTACGGGCTATGTGTAATATAGGTAGGTTATAACGAGACACTTTCCTGTTGCAGCTTTTGATAAAAAAAAGAAGGCAAAAAAAAAATGTCAAACCTTTTCTAATTATGTCACAATAAGTATCGTAGTACGTAAATATCTCTAAGGGTTATTTACAGAAGTGAGAATTCAAAGTGAATTTCAAATTTAAGGACAGAGTAGTTAAACTGAAAGGATAGCTAATGTAGGCTAATTTTCCAGTTTAGCTATTTGGACCTTAAACTTGATATTTACTTTGAATTTTCCCTTTATTGAACAACTCTGTCTGTCTCTTTGATGTCTCAATGGCTACATTCCTGATGTTGATTTATCTTCTCACCCTTGCCTGATGGACTGGACATCAAGGTAGATAACGATTGTCCCAGTCCTACATCTTTTGGACAGTTTGTTGATGCATCAGGATCTCCTGGTCGACCTTTAGTGTTGAAGTGAAGGTCTGAGATGAAGAGGTCATCGTGGCTCAATATGAGTCCATTGGAATGGATTAATCCATGATGTTCACTGTGGTGGAACCTTCGGTGACTGTAGTATTATTGACTCTTGCTGCTAAAACTGCCATATAGCTGCCTTTTCCTTGCTATAGAACCCCTTTAATCTTAAAATATATTAAAGTGGACTGAATGAATATTAATAAATACATTTGCTATTTCTTAACAGACAGCTGACATCTTCCTTTGATGCTAACTGGTTATCCTTGTCAGCAGGAAAGTCAGTCATTTTGCGTCTGTTCTTATCATAGATTCACACACTATTCTCACTGTGAGCCCTCTGTGAGTACAGTAGATACATTCCACAGGGAAAATGAAGATTAAAGTGTTTATATTTAGTTCCCAGAGTAAAATGCCCCCCACCTTATCCAAACAGATTAATCATTAAAAATGCAAATTACAAAGAGATTATCTGTTATAGAGTTCTATGTTCCTAAAAATAATCTTTCACAAATAAGTTTTTTTTTACAACTGATTTCACTGATTAAATCCTCAAATATCTTCTTGTAATTCATATTGCAACAAAAATACATTTGTTAAAAGCTGTCACTGTTAGTTATCGGTCTCGCCATCGCCATCTCTGCAAATGTGCAGGAAAAATACCTTTAAAGTCCAAACAAACAGCAACACCACGAGCAAGATTGCACTTGCCTGGATTTCGTTTGAAAACAAAACTTCTGTTCTTTATAGGGACAATGCTTTTGCTTTGTATTTGGAATTCCATTTTTTTTATGTTTTCCAAAGGTTTCTTGGAAGAATGTTTTAACACTTTAAATGCTGGAAGAGAGAAGAAATTCTCTAAGTGCCCTGTATCGATTGCTGTTTGATGTTGAAAGGTTACCTGGGCCCGCGGTGGTGGATGGTTGCCAGATACTGTAATCGCTAAGTAAACATGGGATAATCCGCGGATTGTAGCGGCACTGAGCAGTGATTAGCTGTACTTGTAAAAGCTCACGAGATGCTATGTTGATCCACACCGTGAAATGGATCAAGCAGGCTCGTGCAAGCTCCTCTCATACAGAAAGTCAACAAAAAATAGTTAGAGTGCTTAGGGCTGACATAATCAAGAATGTTAGTGAAATGTACAAATGTATAAAAGGACAACATAGAGAGCATGCTAATATAGCCACGGGGTCATAATTGAGGACAACAACATTGAACTGGTTGTAACTGAACTTCTTTTCACAAAGACCGACTATCATTTCTAATGTTGCAAATACACTTCATCCATAAATGGGTGGATGAAACGGTCCGCTAATTCTTGAGTTTAAACCGTATGGAAAATAGTTGTTTTTTCTTGTCCTGAAATTTGGATCGTAGTGTGAAGTGTTGCAGGTAGCGATCGCTTGGCCTTAAAGCTTCAAAAATGTCTGCAGTCAAAATACAATGTTTACAGGGACACCATAACTCATGCAAGGAACGCAGGTTATTACAGCAGTTGTACCAATCTTCACTTCATTCCTCTGTAAATCCAATCCCACCGCAGTTCATGGGGACTCAATGCAATGAACAGTAACTCAATTTAAACTCTACCTGAATTTCTGCACAATAAACTGTTATGTAAATAGAACTCAAAATAGCTATCGATAATGAAAGTAAATATTTATTATTATTTCGTTTTATATAAACTGTGTGATCTTCTGGAGGGTTTATTATTAGCCTACAGGTGTTCTAGAACATTGATGTTTTGTAGATGTGTACGGTTGGGCTTACATTTTCTTTGCAGATGCTTGCTTAAAAAGGAAATTTTTCCAATAGTTAAATTACAAAGAAGGAGAATTTGGGGTAGGCAAAGAACACCAGACATGCATACGTGCGTTTTGGGCTTTGTTGAGGCTCTATAATTAAAAATTGGAATATGAATTGAGGGCAGCTGTAGTCTGTCTAGGTTAAGACTACATACATAGGACATTGTGTTTCCCAAGAGAACAAATGACACTAGTTTAATTTGGCTCTTGCATATACAAGCTACATTTACGACCTTTGATTACACCACAGTAGACTATTAGCTAAAACGGACTGTTGGTTGTGTAGGACAGATACCGAGTGGTGAACAATTGTAATTACACAAATGCGACAATAGTTTTGGAGTGAATGAGTTTATGAGATAAATTGACCCGGCACTCAAGGAGTCCAACAAATAGCTTCACATCCAAGAGGGAATTAGGCGGCCAAAGGAGATTGCAAAAGTTTACTTGACCTCATGTTACTGGAACTATGGAGTTGTAGAAAGCCACATGAATTCTTTAGGGATCTGACTGCTTAAAAGAGGAGAGCAATGCCAGTATTTTGCCACACTGGAGACTGGGAACACATTGCTGGCTTGTACTCCATGTTCTAGGACACCATATGTGTAACCCAAGAAGTCTGGTTGCTTGCATCCCACCTCCTGAAGTGACCATTGCGTTTATCTTAAAGATAATGAAACCATTGCAATTGTCTAGAACAACCAATCAGAGGTCCATTCAAAATTATAGATGACGATACAATCTCTGTTAGCCTGAAGATTACATCTGCTTTTTAATTCTATGAAGCAGGTCTTGGATAAATAACAAGTGACTCTTGGTACAATTGTATAAATTCACCGTAGCTTTACTAAATGTGCTATGATGCAAAGCTTCTTTAGTTGGTTCAGTGAAATTTAAGATAAATATCCTTATTTTTGTACATAAGCTAATATGCCTCAAAGGTTATATTTGCAGTATTAAAGATTTTCTTAATTCGTTTAGTAATTATGGTAGAAAATGATGTTTGGTGAGTGTGAGTTCACTGCTCATTGTTAGAACATCTTTATTTATATTTGTATATTTTTGACGTCCTACTATTGTTTTGGTAAGTATGAAATTTACTGGTTGCTCTTAATTAATACTTTATTTCTTGGGTTAAACACTAAAAATGTATAGCTTATTTTGAAATTCTAGGGTTTTGTATGCACTTTATTAAGAGATACCTGCCTTAACTCCAAGGTTGCAAGCATTTGTTAAACTATTTTTCACAAAAACATTTGCAGACATTGAAAAATGGGTCAATTCATATCCTTTCCAGCCAACCTCCAAATATCACTGACCCCATCCAAAAAAAGGGTGGAAAAATTTACATAATTATTTTGAAATATATATTATTTCAGAAAAAGTGAAATTAATCATGGGGTAAAAGAGTTAAACTATTTTGTAGCTAATTGCTGCCAGTCTTACAAATTATCTGGTCAAAAATTATACTAGATTCCAAACCAGGAAAGTGATTACAGGACTGGTGCCTTCTGTGTGTGCGATGGGTGCATAGAATTACATATATTTAAATAGCGCCACTATATTTATGCAGCACTGTACAATAGGTAAACAGGACAAACAATGAATTCTAACAAAACATTTAAAAAAAAACTGGAACAGAAGATGAAGAGGATCCTGCCAAAATGATCTTACAATCTAAAAGCATGTATGTTTGTGTGTGCCTTTTGTGTAATTTTTGTGGTGGGTGCACAATGTGTGTGTGTGATAAGTGTGTGGTGAGTGTGTAATGGGTATGATGGTCACCTGATGTGTGTGATGGTGCACATTGTGCATATCTGATGACAATTGGGGGTGTTGGTGATGTCTGACAACCTAAAAAGTGCCAAAGACCACCAGGAAATATGTTTTTGTTTTTCCATGCACAGAAGTTCCAGAGGATCGCTCAGACAACATGCTTGTAGACAACAACCTGGATGCTGGACCTGTGGTGCCTGTGGATTTTCTCCCAAAGAAGACGAGGGTCGTTTTGAAAGACTGGGCTTTGCTTCGCGAGAGAGCCAATGATCAGCAACGATTCAAAACAAACAAGAACCATGAAGACAAAAAGAACGTCCGCCAATCCAGGGTCAGTTTGAAATGTTCTTCTTACAGAATGAAAGCTTGTGAATCCTGTTCTATGAGAGGGGATTCAGTATTCCAATGAAACCCTAAATATTGCAGTGTAGAGGTAAAAAAATGATAATGAAAAAAATACACATTAATGGCAGCACTGAAACGTTTTACAGCTCGTGGAGTTACCAATCACATGGATTTCTGTTGGTTGTAACCACTACTACTACATTCCTTCTCTATATTGAGGGATATAAGATAAGGGATGCAATATTTAACACAGAGGATGAGATGTTATTATGCCCAGAGTACATAGTTACATAGTTACATAGTTACATAGCTGAAAAGAGACTTGCGTCCATCAAGTTCAGCCTTCCTCACATTTTTTTTTTTTTTTTGTTGTTGATCCAAAAGAAGGCAAAAAACCCTGTTTGAAGCACTTCCAATTTTGCAACAAGCTAGGAAAAAAATTCCTTCTTGACCCCAGAATGGCAGTCAGATTTATCCTTGGATCAAGCAGTTATTACCCTACATTGAAAGATTATATCCTTGAATATTCTGTTTTTGCAAGTATGAGTATAACATATTCATACTGGTGTGACAAGCTAGATACATACAAATGGTTAAATGTCCTGTCTGATATGTTTGATTTATGAACATTAATAAAAGGGAGGCTGCCATGTTCACAGGCTCAGTTTTTATTCATAAAATGTGTTTTGCAGTTTGCTTGAATCCATAATCTTCATTACCAAGAGGAGATGATAGTTTAATGTTTTAGCCCATAATAATCCCACAGTGCATTTAGAAATAGGGTTCATTTTGCCAGGAAAGGGGAGGTGGGGGAGGGGTTGTGCCTTTTAAATATTCAAAACTGTAAATATCTCAGTTATATTTTTTTTTGGCAAGGATTTTAGGTTTGTATCAACACAATATACAGCACTACAGAATATGTTGGAACCTAAAACTCTTATCTAAGAATCATCTATTTTCCCATGGCAGAGTCTCTGTCAGCTGCAGCTGGATCAGGTCCTGGAACGGATCTCCATCATGCACCTTCCTGATGAGAGAGCCCCCTTGGAACATCTTTACGCACTCCATATCCCAAACTGTGACAAGAGTGGCTCATTTAACCCCAAACAGGTAATCATCACATCAGAAGCAAAATGGGAGATAAGGAGCCAAATAAAGACCAGGAACAAAATGGGATATAAAGAGAAAAAAAAAAAAAAAGAGATAAGAAGCAAAATGATAGATTAAGAGCAAAATGGGAAATAAGGAGAAACATGGGACACCAGGAACCAGGAAAATGGTGAATCAGAAACAAACGTGAATGTGAAATCAGGAACCAGCATAACATAGCGCTATAATTACATTTCTTCTACCCACCATTTGGATGCTTCTATAACAAGTCTCATAAATATATTAGCAGTTTTTGAGATTAAGTAAATACAATTAATATTATTCTCATAGTACGCATGATGACCCCTGTCCACCACCAAAAGCATCTTCAGTAGGGATGTGAGCATCAGAACAAAATAAAATAAAATAGCTAACTGAGTGTTGGTATTTGAAAGAGTAGAATGATGTAAAGCATGCGTATACTATGGAGTATATATGAAACTAGTTATTACATAAAAGAGTGCAAACAACAACATATCGGGGAAAAGACTTTCACGCCCTCTGCAAAAGGGAGGGCCATGTGATTGATAATAACCATTTTACTCTTGATCTGTTGGGTGCTTGTTGCTAGCAGTGTATTTCATGGTAACTCACTCTAATTACAAAATGCATGCGCACAAAAGTTAAAATGTCTCCAATGTGCAGTAGCTCAATGGGCTCAACAGACTAATAGAGCAGTGGTTGCTAAATTGCCCGTGCACAAACATTGCCGTTCCACAAACAATGCCCACTCACAAACAATGCCGACTTCAAACATTGCCTTCTCGCAAACATTGCCCATTTACAAACATTGTCCTCCCATAAACCTTGCCCTCCCACATACATTGCCCACTCACAAACATTTCCATGGGTTGGGTGTTCTTTGGAACTTGTTAGGTTTCCAGCCATCATGAAGATCCCCAATTGTCATCACATATGCACAATGTGCACCTATTACACACATTACACACTCACCACACAATTATCACACACACATAATATACCCATCACGCACATTACACACTCACCACATTTATCACACATACATTATGTACCCATCACACACATTACACACTCACCACACAATTATCACACACACATAATATACCCATCATGCACATTACACACTCACCACACTCTTATCACACATACATTATGAACCCATCACACACATTACACACTCACCACACATACATTATGTACCCATTGCACACATTAAACACTCTTATCACACATACATTATGTACCCATCACACACATTAGACACTCACCACACACTTATCACACATACATTATGTACCCATCACACACATTACACACTCACCACACACTAATCACACATACATTATGTACCCATTACACACATTACACACTCACCACACACTAATCACACATACATTATGCACCCATCACACACATTACACACTCACCACACACTTATCACACATACATTATGTACCCATCACACACATTACACACTCACCACACACTAATCACACATACATTATGTACCCATTACACACATTACACACTCACCACACACTAATCACACATACATTATGCACCCATCACACACATTACACACTCACCACACACTAATCACACATACATTATGCACCCATCACACACATTACACACTCACCACACACTAATCACACATACATTATGAACCCATCACACACATTACACACTCACCACATAGTAATCACACATACATTATGTACCCATCACACACATTACACACTTACTACACACTTTTCACACATACATTATGTACCCATTACACACATTACACACTCATCACACATACATTATGTACCCATCACACACATTACACACTCACCACACTCTTATCACACATACAGTATGCACCCATTAAACAGTGCAAAGTCAATGAAGGAGCTATTTAATCTTAAGAAGAATGTCTTCCTCATACCAGTGGTGGTCAACCTTGACACTGCTGATAGTGTTGTACTGCAATTCCCATGATGCTCAGCTAGCCCCTTCCCTTTATTTCTCAGTCCCTGGATAACATACTGCATAATATATTATTTGTTAATGTATAATATTATGTAATGGAACTATCGCTACTTTCAGTTCATCTTGTTCTGTTCTCCTAATAGCTGTTTCCTATGTTTTTCTCTTACAGTGCAAGATGTCTTTAAATGGGCAGCGCGGCGAATGTTGGTGTGTTAACCCCAGCACCGGAAAATCCATCCCTGGTTCCCCCACCGTCCGTGGAGACCCCGAATGCCACTTGTATAATACCACTCCTGAAGAAGAGCGTAGATCTCATGCAGTCCGTGCTCCATAATTCAAACCACATTCAAACCAAGCCACCCCGACTTACTTACTTCCGGCTGTTATCAATAACTGTGTTGTACATAAAAGGAAAAATATCAAAACAATGGTTTTGAAAGTGGGCTGGTGGATGTATAATCATTGATTAACTTTTAGAGTTACTGGCTATAAATCCCTTTCAATGCCAGAGCTAAACAGGTTCAAAGGGGTAGGGGTATGCATCCACTGGTCCTGGAGCTGTGGGGGTACAAACTGGTGGAGTATGACGTCTACTGCAGCTGAGGGGCCAGTGATTGAATATCTCTTATCTAAACTGCTTTTGGCATGGAAGGTTTTATAAGGAATGTCTGCATCAGCCCATCCTTTTGATGAACCATCCCTACTTCAAACCTTCTCAGTAATGGTGGACCAACAGCATGGGTCAAGGTCAGACTTCAAAAGGCAACTATAAAGCAACATATGCTTTATAAAGGGTGAAATCAGAATACTGATTTTAATGGGAATTCCTCACGTTCAGAGCTGTCCATTTACACAAAGGTTTAAGTATAAAAGGTCATCTCTAAGAGGCTTTTCAAACAGTATTAATTAACGTCTCAGCTGTCGGGGGGGGGGAGGGGGGCATTGACCAATCAGTTGTCCATTCCAGCTACCTGTATTATATGCATATAAGGGTTCGCCTTATATGACATTATTTGACCACGAGACATAATCAGTTAGTGGCTCAGCCGAATTCAATTTCTTGTGTACATTTTTATCCTGTGCTGAGTTTATATTTTTATTTCTTTTTCCCCCCAAACAATGTCAATCAGTATATGCCTACTTTAATTGACCCTCTCTTTGCCTTAGGTATGTATAATCTCTCTACGAGGCAAAGGGTTAACGAGTACTGGATTTTTTATTATTATTATTATTAATGTTATTATTATTTTTATATCCTTTTTTCAATGTTTTGATTTGTTTTTGATGGGAATATTAAGGGAAATTGTATTTACTTTTTTTGTTTTTTTAAATTATTTTCCCCCACAATTGAAATAACCTATTTTTGGCTGGGTCTGTCGGTAAGTCCTTTGGATCGATCAGAAACTGAAAGTGGAACATAATGCCCGGTTTTATTTTTTCCATCTTTTGCTTTGGGTTACAACTCATTTAACCCGTCTATACGTTAAACCCACTGCCTCACACCGTGAAGCTTCTGTTGAGAAATGTACAATGAACTTCAGGGTCTGTCATTTGGCACATCCTGGATCCATCATAATTCATTGTCTCAGAGAAGCGTTAGATAACAGAAAGGACAGTAAAGGGAAAAATGTTACTATGATAGTGACGCATTTACTAGGACAAATTCAAAGTGCTGCTATAAAACATTAAGCCTTCAGCAGAACATCTTCATCTTGCCTTAAAGTAGGGTGACCTGTGGATCCTCAGACAGTTTACTACTTACCTAGGGCACAACATGATTTACTAATCTTCACGTGTCCACATGTCATTTCAGCTTGCAGTGGATCTGTGCAAATATAGAAAGTTTGATTTGACAAATCTATAATAATTAAAATCCGTGCTGCTTCTTTTTAAATGGAGGGCTTTTTAACATTCTTATCTGAGACAGAAAAATAATTAAGTGTGTGAATTCCAAATAGCAGTCTATGTGAATGTGTGTGGGATTATATTTTTCCTTTTTTCCTATGTTACCAAAACATGTCAGTCTCCGAGCACAATCATTACTGTATATAGCAAAAATACTTGTCATGTTCACATTGGTATCTGTATTAATCCATTAAGTGACCTGATGTAAATTCTGCTTGTAGTTGGCTACAAATCCCAATATTTAGCTGCAGAATAAAGCTGTTTGAAATATAACGAATCAGATAAAACCACTGTATTACACGTCAGGTGGGAATTTCGAATCATTCTGATAAACTCTATTTTTTCTTTGTCTTTTTTCCTGAATATGAATACTTTGCTATTTCAATTGTCTTTCGATAACATTAAGCTTTGCACATGTGAGATGTGCATCTCTTTTCACAAAATGTACAGTCCCCTGGGGGGAGGATTATGTGATAACCACCCAACCCATGTGAGTTATCCACACAGTCACAGTATTTTATAGGATTCCTGTCTGTTCAGATGAGTTGTATCTTAATCATTTCTGTGTTTCAAGCATTTACATAATGTTCCCTTATTTGATTATGCTAATATAATTATACACTGTTTGTTAAATATGTAATATTTTTTTTTAATTGTATTCTTTGCGGACGTCAAGTGAGCTGCATTCTGAAAAATAACCACTAGATGTCAGAATGCTTCCTGTCCATATCTTCATTTTTTAAATTAACACATATTCGAGTTTCCTGTTACACATGTTCCCCTATAATTAGGGTCACCAGATCCGCCATGGTTTCAGTGATCAAGTTATGATCATCATGAGTTTATCTTTAGCTATGTGTCCCTAGAGCTTGTGAATTAGCTGAAAGGTTGGAGGCAGTATTTTGGTTTGTTGCTTAACACTCAGACTAATGTTAATGTGGCTCTGAATAAGGGAAAAGAGCCTTAGCAAGGCAGTATGTGATATTAAAGCAGACATAGTCCGGACACAGTGTATCACAGTGAGTTTTCACTCTCTTGGCTGCCTCTAGGTCCAAGCCCTCCCATCCTGAAGGATATTGTTTTAGAGTAACAAGGCGTTTTTATGGACTAGACTGTAAGGTATGTGGGTAACAATGTATTACGTAGCCTTCCCAAATAACGTGAGATTTAATCTTCGTGTTATATGGTTTGTCAGCACAAGTGGTTCCATCGCCAATACAGCATTACTAATACTGAATGAGCCATGTTTGCTAGTCCAAGCAGGAACTGAAATACATATCTTCCTAAATGGATGGACACGTCAATGTCCGTGACTTGTATTTTTAGCGTCCGTAGTCAGCCCACTTCCATGTGTTACAAAAAAACACCTAACACTCATGTTTTAATTGTTCCTCCGTTGATTAAAGAGTTACTCCAACTAAAAAGCAGCGTTGTCATAGGACAATATTTTTGTTTAGAGTAACCCCCCATTAAAAAATAGAAATATGGCTAAAACTTACCTCCATTCCAGCGCTTGAGCCACGTTCTCCCTGCAGCCCAATCTTCCTCTGCTGATGTCACTGCCCCCTCCAGCTGGCGGGGGAGGGATGTAGGGAGAGAATGTCTGAGTGGAAGACATGGGTAGCACTGAGTGGGTGGCCGTGCCTCCATTGGACGCATCTCGCCAGCATGCTGACGTCAGACATCCACTACGCACTGAATCATATTAGCCAGCCCAGAACTCTTGACGCCCCAATGACGTACACCACCAGCAGCAGATTAGTTAGACTCGGTATGTGCAGCATTTTATGGCGAAACGCTGCACATACAGACTCCAGGCACCATGACAACTTCAAATCACTTGGAGTAACACTTTACTTCAACAAAAGTGAAGACTAGATCTCAACTAAACATATGCCTTTCACATTGTAGCTGTTTTTTGTATTGTTTTTTTATTCTGTATTCACTGGAGTAATCAGCAGAGGGCATCACAACTGATTTTACACAAATATCCCCTCGATCATACAGCTATATAGGGGGGCAGTCCTTTCTACCTTACACACCAATGAAAGAAAACATTGTTACACTTGTGTATTGAGCAATAAAATAAATCAATAGAAATACAACTGTGTAGAAGTGTTTTTTGTAATTTGTCTATTTAATGCAAATGCTTCATGTTTCTCTATTCCTATTTATCTGTTTTTTGAGACAGTCTCTTCTCTAAGATTACTTTGGGAGAAAATTCTCCTTTAGTTCCATTGGTTTTGTTGTATAGTATGTGGTTCTGTTATGATTCTGGTTTAGAATTCCATGAATTCATATGTTTTGCTAGTGTGAAAACCCACTAGAACTCATGGATTTTTCCTCGGTACACCTACAGAACTATTGTTTATAAAAAAACCTTTGACTCCCATAAAAAGGTTTGTACCTGAAATGTGACATAGTGGTCTATTTACTAACAATGATGGAATGATAGATCCATAGAGAGATTCTAGCTGAGAATTTTAGAAATATAATTCACAAACATCTACATTGCCAAACGTGCACCCATAGCGATATGAGTAATCCCTTCTGCTTCTCAGATTGTGCATCTATAATCATAGTGTGACCAAATAATTACATATGGCGGCATTAAGAGCTCCACATGCCCATCTTATTCCAGAAATGGAATAAGCGCTCACGTAAGATTATCAGAGATATCTGCACCTGGCTAACGATCCCGCACATCGCCTGCAGCTTGGAGATGTCATGCAAAATCACCTTGCGTGTTTCACGCTGATATCAAGTGCTTGGCGCCAAACTTTTTCCAACGCTGTCCCACATATAATAACAGGTTTTGAAGGGGGGTAACTTATTTCTAAACACAAAAAAGGGAATAGTGTACAAGAGCTACAATAAAAAATAATGCTAAATAAAAGCGCTAGTTTGGACATTTTAACTCTGAGCTCAAATAAGCGGGTTGGTATAAACTATAAGATCTATTCATTTAACACTGGATTGCAGTGTATTTACAATCACATTGCAACATTTATACCACAGATGGTTGCCTTGGCGTTCTTTAAAAGTTAATATTTGCACACCTGTCTTGCGCAGCAAGGGTTAAAGGGGCTGCTCCTGCACCTGGCTCCGAGCAGGTTTTGAAGTAGTTACATAATGTTTACGCATCCTTTCTTTCCCTGAACTGACAGGCTGCAGCTTTCAATTTAGGACAAGTCTGGATCTGTGCTAATCCCTTAAACAGCCATTGTGAATGCATCGCCAGAGGCCAACTCGGCACAAGCAAGCAATTATTATTATTATTTTTAAAGGGGCGTGTGGGTTACTATATTAAAAATATATATATATAAAAAAATAATAAGAAGAAATGTTGGTTACTCAGGATTCCTAGCAATATTAAAACTTTGTAGATATTTTATGCTTAGGACAATTTCCCCAAGTTCATGTTAATACTACGATCACACAAAAAAAGAGTTACTAGCAGGTTACACAAGTCAGGCAAAACCAGGGGTTAGTATGTTGAATCAAGAGCAAAAACCTGCACATAAAGAAAAAAACTATTTTTGTGTTCGGTGGCCATCTTTACTCCACCCCCTCTGCCCCTAGCTCCCCCCCCACTGGACCAAAGCAACCCTCCTGTGATTGCCTCCACAATGCTTTGAGAACAGTCTCCTTTAGTTGCACTTTTTTGTTTAGAACTGAACGTGTATAGTATGCGGTTCTGGTAGGATTCCAGTTTACAATTCCATAGAACCCATGGACTTTTCATTTTAGAAATCTAGATGATCAACTTGTTACACCTGCACAGCTATTGTTTATGAAAAACCTTGGATTCTCACGAAAAAGATAGATTTAGATGGAAAGTACAAAACAGGATCCTCTCGCTAAATTTTTTAGTGCACTTGAAATGTGCCATAGTGGTCTATTTACTAACAATGACAAGTAGCCATGGGCCAAAACAGCCACGTTTTAATTCAGATATGTCGTGGTTTTGTTTTCAGCATTTTATATGTCTCCGTAAAAATTGAATTACTTTTTTTTTTAAAGTATACTAGTCGTTTATTTGTTTATTTGCCCATTTTATTTTAAATTAAAACCAGCCACCGTGAATAGAAACATCTGAATAGTAATTAAGCTATTTGAGCTTAGCTGACAATAGTTAGACATGTGTCTCAGAAAGAGAGGGGCTTGTTTAGGTTTTGCGGTGGAACTTTGTAGCAGTTTTAGGAAGAAGGTATGTTCGTATAAGAACGATGTCACACTAGATTTGACTGGATAACCTAGTTAGATCTCAACCCTATCAATCATATATCAATACCAATATCAATACATTCTAACTGTGATAGACTAACATTTGGGTTGCACGTCAAGATCATGTTAAGGAATACCAGCACACATTTGCCCATATTGTACACTGGGCTTGCACTCTTTGTCACACTGTAAAACCATATTTTATGTACACTCCAAACACTTCTCCAGTGCCGGACACAAGACACAGCACGTGCCAGTCAGCAATGTTTGTTGTCCAATGGTTTATGATATCATCTCCACATGTAATGTTTGATCTTCTACAAATTGGGTCAAAAGAGTCAATGTCACCCTGGGCAAAATGGTCTATTTTGTGATACAGTTTTTGAACATGGACTTCTGAAGCATCCGTGACTCTACTGACAGAGCCTGACAGATACATATGTGGATCTTACTTAATGTCCCTGTAATATATGTTAATTTTGACTTTTAAAGTGAGACAGGGTAAGAATTTATTACTTACAACAAACTACAACCAGCTCATTGAAGGTCTAGGTTTTAGGTTTCAGATTCCATGCTACTAGTTATCCTCTAATCAACACTAACAGGGTAGTTTACTAAAGTTCGAATGGACCCATAGAGAATGGGGCAAAACCATCAGGCTCCATACTGGACCATTTGGACGTCAAAATTCAATTTCCGCAGGAGGGATAAAATCTGGACCCATAGTTTTCAAATCTGAATCCCCCCGAACAATATACCCGCTGGCAAAAACCCTCAGGGACATAATGGTTAACTTTGTTACAGCTGGTCAGCGCCTGCTAGCCATCACGTTTAAGTTTTTTAAATTGTTAATTAATTATAAAGCCTCAAAAATACTTCCACATAACTGAAAATGAAGTTTTAAACCTCACTTTGCCCCTCCCTGCAATGAAGCAGATTGGGGTATATCTATTAAACTTTGAAAGCTAAAGAATGGGCAGCAGTCACTAGATGGATTCTATCCAATGGAGAAGAGGCCTGTAAAATCACCGGGGGTACATAATATCCCAGTGGGTATCACCTAGGGGACTTTAAATTACATATTAGGGTGTGCATAGATCACTGACCATCTCCTGCCACCACCCATGGCAAGCGATTGAGGGCTATTAAATGTATAAAATACATGCATATGTATGTCCTAATAATTTTATACCAGAGGGAAGTCTGTCCCAACCCAGGGTTCTAAAAAAATTAAAGAAGATCTAGTGCCCCTAATCCCACCGGTTTAGAGTTGGGCCTCTAAATAATTAATGAAGTAGGGAACCTAATATCACCATCCCAGCCTCTATCCTTTAGCAGCATGTGGAGGCACTTATAATTATATATAGGGGGGTATTTAATTTCCACCCACAAACCCTTCACCTATGGGTGGTGGGCGGGGACTCTACCTAATTACGCAAGGCTGGTGAACCCCCCAATTAGTAACATAGTCCACTGCCCTACCTCCGAGTGGCTAGGATACCACAGTCACTTAAAATAAATTAGCCCTACACCTCCCACCCCCCTTATAATAGTGTGACTAAGGGAGGGGGGTAACAAAACAAATTATACAATTTTCCCACTTTATGTGTTTCACCATGGCCCTAGACAGATTGAGACCATCTCCTAAGGTTCTGGGCTCTTTTTCTGTCAGTGTAGTGTGTATTGTGTGTAATGGCTGAGTGTCTGAGTGTTGTGGGTGTGTGTGGTATCTAAGTGTGTATGTTTGCACCCCTCCCTACGCCTTCAATGAGCCTCCTGCTTATCTTAGACCTTCAATGAGCCGAAGCTCCAGCTACACTGGCCTCTGTCTGAGCCTGGGCGCTAGGTGGCTGCCATGTGGGCCGAACTGGGAATAAAAAGCAGCCCTGGAAAAAAATTCTATACCAGCCCAATAATGCAACGCGCCAGCATAGTGTGCAGATATGGAAGCGGGAAAAAAAACCCTGAAAACTATCATTTAAACTTTAAAGAAAGCACTCATAGGGCTTCATAATAAACTATAGAGCGGATTTGATGTAAGCGGACGTGCATTTGCATATAATCATTTGGACTGAAATTGTGAATGTGAATGCACAGCAGTAAAAAAAATGATGTTATCTTGTTTTTTTAATGTAATAAGAGTGTGCTTCACTTCGGCTGACAACTGGATACATTTCAGTAAATGCCAATTAAATTCCCAAAGGAAAGCATCAGGGGGTTTTGCGCATGTGTGGCTGCACCAATTAGCATCTCCTCATAGAGATGCATTGCCTTCATGCAGAGTGTGCAGCACTGGACTAGGAAGCAGCTCTAGTTGCCGTCTGAGTGACTGTAGGCACTGCCCTTTTCTCTGAATTTACAGTGCTCAGCCTACAGGGACAGGCTACAGACACTAGAACCACTACATTAAACTGTAGTAGTTCTGGTGATTTATAGTGCCCCTTTAATACAGATACTTTATCTCACCGGTCAACTCTGAGTTCCAGGGAGAGCAGGAGACACAAGTGAAGATGCATTTTGTTTGGTCTTTCTTTTCTCTACAAGCAATGATATCAGTGACAACTCTCTTGAGCTGTGTCTGGTCAGGTGTCTGGTTCTTGGCCTATATAAGCCACTTCCTGTCTCTGTACCTTTGCCAGATTATTGTGGTTCCTGTACTCTCTAATCAAGCTTGTTCCTGTTTCTCCTACCTTTTGCTGAATTTGGACTGTTTTGACTTTGCTGCTTCTCCTTACCACTGACCTCGGCTTTTTACTCCCCAGCCCCTCCACGTGTCTCATTACCCCACAGCCCTCCATGTGTCTCATTCCACCCTCTCCAGTTTCCCATGTGTCTCAGTAGCCCCACATGTGTCTCATTACCCCACAGCCCTCCATGTGTCTCATTCCACCCTCTCCAGTTTCCCATGTGTCTCAGTAGCCCCACATGTGTCCCATTAGACCCCAGCCCTCCGTGTGTCCTTGTGAGGAACTGACTCTGCTGGGTTTCATTACCCCACCCTCACTACTATTATCATCTTTCTGTTCCAGTCTGTCATCTCTGCTTAAGACCAGATGGCCACTCAAGGCTCAGGGGCTCAACCACCTGGGTAACGAGTGGCTACCTCTGGCAGAAAACATTGCTGATCTGGCTACTGGACTCCAAAACTTTGTAACATCAATATCATTACAGTCCTATTAGCCCTCCATCTGTCCCTATAGCCCCCCAGCCCTCCATGTGTCCCACTAGCCCTCCCACTCCTCCATGTGTTCCTATGCCCCATCCCAGCCCTCCATGAGTCCCTATGCCCTCTCCCAGCCCTGTATGTGTCTAATTAGCCCTCCTATGTGTCTCAGTAGCACCACCATGTGTCACATGAGCCCCCCTGTGTATCCCATTAGCACCCAGCCCTCCATGTGTCATATTAGCCCTCCCTCCCAGCCCTCCATGTGTCCCTATAGCCCCCTCCCAGCCCTCAAGTTGTCCCAATAGGCCCCCTCCCAGCTCCCATGTGTCCCAATAGGCCCCCTCCCAGCCCCCATGTGTCCCTCCCAGCCCTCCATGTGAGTAGCGGAGTACTAGTCCTAGCAGGGACTCTTCTCCACTGGTTACTCCAAGATGAGCTCAGGAACAAGTAGAATTCTCCAATGGAACAGCCAAACACAGCAAAGTAATCCAAGAATCTCCCACCTCTCCCCCAGCAACTGGACGGCACTCAGCTCTGGGGGTATAACTGGTTTTAATGGAGCCATACACTGCCTTTTATGAGAATCCCCATGCAAGGGTTTCCAAATACACATTCCAGGGGCATTCCCCACTGGACCTGAGAGGAGACTGAGGCAAAGTACACAACATAATTACATTAACTCTCAGGTCCAGGACATGTACAATCTTTTTCACCCCAAAACATACATTTCTCCACAAAGTACCCCTCAAGTCCTATATCCCCAGATATACGCCACCGGGGTATAGTTTAGACCGAACGCACATGAGGTGCCTGCCCAAAAAAGTTCCATGAAATTAGGCTGTACGGTCGGTCTCTTTCGGGAGTATAAAACACATGAAAAACGAATACAAAACTGTTCGTGTATATGTTCATTATAAGTATCTGGTTCGGGAGTTTGCTCCCCACGAACACCACTCTGTTCGCCTGAATCTCCACGAATGTAACAGAAGGTGGAAGTCCCAGCGGTGTTCACTGTCGAGTGGCCGATTTTAGTTCCATACACTCAACGACCAAACACCGCTGTCCCTGTTCGTATTCCAAGATGGCCACCGCCATGTGTTCATACATACAAACGGCGGCCACCCAGACACAGCAACAATATGGAGCTCATAGAAAAGAGGGACATTAGGATAGAAAAGAGGAACAAAGAGATTTGGGCCCAAATAGTGACTGCTTCTTCTAAATAGGAAAACATGGGAGTTATGTAATCTACATATGCTTACTAATAAATATTTAAATCCCATCCTGGCAAAGTGATTATTTGTGTCCTCTTTTTACAATGACTCCCTCAACTCACATGTAAAAGATTTATCTAGAACTGCACCGTTTTTATGGCATTCCCTTAATCAATCCCCTTTTCGGTAACGGTTGTACCAAATAAAAAGCTATTTCCCAGTTAAGGACACTATCTCACACAGCTATTACACATACTGATATACGTATTATATTAAGCTGTGTTTATGCATTATATTACATGATATATGTATTATATTAAGCTGTGTTTACGTATTATATTATATGATATACATATTATATTAAAGGATCACTATAGGGTCAGGAACACAAACATATATTCCTGACCCTATAGTGTTAACACCACCATCTAGGCCCCCTGGACCCCTCATGCCTCCATAAATATAGCAAAATCTTACTGTATGCAAGCCTGAAGCTGTAACTCTGCATGCTGTTAGACTCAGAAAAACAAGCAGTCTGCTGACATCATTAGAAGTGGTGGCCTTATCCAATCACACTGCTTCCCCATAGGATTGGCTGAGACTGACAAAGAGGCAGATCAGGGGCAGAGCCAGCACAAGCCAAACACAGCCCGGGCCGATCAGCATCTCCTCATAGAGATGAATTGAATCAATGAATCTCTATGAGGAAAGTTCAGTGTCTGCATGCAGAGGAAGGACATACTGAATGTTTGGATGCATTTTAGACAGCCATGACCCAGGAAGGATCTCTAACAGCTGTCTGAGGAGTGGCCAGTGAAGTTATCACTAGGCTGTAATGTAAACACTGCATTTTCTCTGAAAAGACAGTGTTTACAGCAAAAAGCCTGAAGGTAATGATTCTACTCACCAGAACAAATTCAATAAGCTGTAGTTGTTATACATATTATATTAAGCTGTGTTTACGTACTATATTATATGATATATGTATTATATTAAGCTGTCTTTACGTATTATATTATATGATATACGTATTATATTAAGCTGTGTTTACGTATTATATTATATGATATAGGTATTATATTAAGCTGTCTTTACGTATTATATGATATACGTATTATATTAAGCTGTTTGGATCATGTTGATAAATCAAAGATACATGTTAATCTGCTTAAAGGACCACTCTAGGCACCCAGACCACTTCAGCTTAATGAAGTGGTCTGGGTGCCAGGTCCAGCTAGGGTTAACCCATTGCTATGTTTATGAATGGGTTAAGCCTTCCCCTAATCCTCTAGTGGCTGTCTCATTGACAGCCACTAGAAGCGCTTGCGTGCTTCTCACTGTGATTTTCACAGTGAGAGCGCGCCAGCGTCCATAGGAAAGCATTATGAATGCTTTCCTATGTGACCGGCTGAATGCGCGCGCAGCTCTTGCCGCGCGTGCGCATTCAGCCGACAGGGAGGAGAGAAGGAG